CTTTCCCGGGGGTAAAGCCGGCCGGGGCGTGATGCTGACCACTCATCCCCAAGGTCAAGGAAGAGAGGAGCTATACCTCCTCTCCCCCCAAACGCCTACATGGCGTATAGCAGGACAAACTTTACTTTACTTTACCTTTTCGGCAAATAATTGTGATGAATTTAGAATCAATTTACATACGACTTAGATAACCCAAATTTTCTACCGAACCGAAGATTTCAAAAATATATTCTATACATTAAACTAAAGTTAAATTTCTTTAATCTTAAACCAGTTAAGTGTTACGTCAGTGGTGAACCAAGACTGAGTGCTACATAATTGCAGCACTAGCTGGATGTTTCAGGAAGAATAACTGTTGGAAGTCAAAAGAAGGGCGGTTGATAGCAGAAATAATTACTAATGCACAAAAATAATAAAATTGTATCCTGATATTCTAGTTAAGTTGTTGTTTAGTAACAAATTTTACGGCTAAATATTTTTCGTTAATTACCTAGCAGCATAAACGGTTCGAATTAAACTGTGGGATCAAGAAATAAATAATTTATGCTATGTACTTTATTCATAACACAATCATTGCTTCACTACTGTCATACTGGGAACAATATGTAATGATGTCCTTCCCTTCTGGACGCTGTCGGTCTCCGCGTCCCTGCTCGGAATCTGAGAGATTTTTCTATGTTCAGTTTTAGCCCTTTGATCAAAAACAGTCCTTCTGCTAGATGCGCATCAGCTGCTAATGTTGTCTGCAGGGATTTGGACATATTCGAGACGAAAATTGTCACACTTCTTCACATTCTATAATTGTATAATTTACTTAATTGATTTAATTATTTTACAAATATGCTAATATATTAAGTTGCAACTTTCTTATGTATTTACGTCGCCCGTATAAATGTATTTCATATTCTGCTTGTTTTACCTTTTATGTTTTTATTGTGTTCGTGTGATCATCTCTGTGCTGTATCTGTAATTGGCCTTCTGGCTGTTGATACAGCACACTAATAATATAGAATTGAATTGAATTAAATTATTCAAAATAAAATGTAATCTACAGGTGTCACTCAAAACGCTTTTCTCCACATTTTTTTTTAAAATTTCGGCCAAAAATAATTGGAAAAAGCTGAAAGTTTGTATATATAAATTTTGAACTTTCCGGCCTTGCATAATGAAGTTTTAATAAATTCCGCCAGATAGCATGAGTGTAGTAAGTTTTCAAAATGGCTTCTGATAGTGAAATGCGTTTCAAACATCTCGATATGTGACGGATGGAGATGACCACCTTCCACGAACAGTGACTAGGGCTGAGACATGGATTCACCACTTTGAGCCACATACGAAAAGGCAATCCATGGAACGGCATCATTCGACTTCGCCACGCCAGAAGAAGTTCAAGCAGTTTCCTCGTTACTACCCTGACAAGACTACAGATGCTCATGAAGCGAGTTCGACCAGAGCGGGAGACGCAAGATGTCCTTCTCTTGCACGATAACGCAAGACCGCACTCAAGTTTGCGAACTACAGAAGCCACCACAAAACTGCTTTGCTTATCCACCAGACTTTAATCTGTTTGGTCCAATAAAGAATGCCATTCCTGGACGAAAGGTCAGTCAGAGACGATGAGGGGAAAATGTGGCTCCGACAGAACCCAGAGGACGTTTACCAACAACGGAATACGAACCCTTGTTACCAGGTGGCGGAAGCTTTAGAGAAAGATGGAGACTGCTTAAATAGTTATTGTAAATAAAGGATGTGGCTATTAATATAATATATTTAAGCTCTTTTCGATAATTTTTGACCGAGATAAAAAATGTGGGGCGAAGCTCTCTGAGTGAATCTCAAAGTTCACAATTCCTTCTTAATATTCCGTTTTGTTGCTTAGGCCTACAACTTAAATTTATATAAATTAATAATGAAGATGACCGTCCTCTGGGATGTTACACCATGTAATCTTATAGGAAATGGCCTCTTTGGTGTAGCAAGCAATAAGAACCCCTAAAACGTCGGTCAGTTTCTATCAGACTACATAGCGCAAGATTCCTGAAAACAGTCATCTTCACAGTCATTGCAGTGAGAACCTGAAATCTTAACTCAGGGCAGTTCTTTTGCCGGGCCGACCGCGCTTTATGGGGTCCTATGTAATGACATTACGATGTGTGAAATATTTTGTGCACATCGCCACATTAATACAAATGTAACATAAGGCACATTAACGTGTAGCCTATTAATTTTATTGTAATCCCAGAAGAGATATACGGATAAACACTTTAATAAATATCTAACTCGTCTGAAGTAATATTAGACTTCCAGATTAGCGGCTTTATCTTTTCTTTGATTTTAATTATTTATTTTGTATTTATAAATCTTAAGGAGGGACTTCGCTTAACCCCGGGCCCTCCACCCCTCTAGGGATTTTTCTGTCCAAAAAATCGGGTATCACCAATTTTAACATCAACTTACCAGGATAACATTAATTTCAGGTTGTTCTGATTCTTGCTGTGAGTATCCACGCGGGGTACATCGCCCCTCTAGCCCCTGAGAGTTATCCCCTGGCCCTGCCAGCAGCCGGACACGCAGTTGATTATTACGTAAGTATGATGATTTTGATTAAACATTTCAAGCATATTGGTAACTATATGTACCAGCAGCTTCAACAACCTGTGGCACTACATATTACCCATAGAGTGTATATAAATGTATCGTATAATTCTCAGAGTAAACAGCGATTATTTCCTTAAAAAAGCGTTAACCAATTGATCTTTGTAGTAAACGTGTTGTGTTCTCGTTGCTGTAGGAACTTAACTTTTAAATGTAATCCACACGAGATCGGCTTCGAAGTGTGACAATATATTTCTTGCCCCAAAACTGTTAGAAGAAAATATGATTCAGCAATTACTACCCACAGTAAAATAAATGTTAGAGAATTCTCATTGTATGAAAGAAATCAGCCTAAAAATTTTGATTAACATGAAAATAAATTCCATATTTGCTAATTGAACTACTTTCAAGACATAACGCACGTAAACTCTGCTAATTAGTGATATTTTTAGTGTGTAATGTTGCATACAATAATACAAGTTGTAAGATAGCTGTCTTCTGGGTTGTTGCGCCGTGTAGTCTGGTAAACGTCTACCAGAACAACAACCCAGAAGACAGCTATCTTCAGACTCACTGCAGTGAATACCTCAAACCCTACTTATTCATACAAGTTCTTTACTTCGGTAGTGAATTACAGCAAGATACATGTTTACTTTCATAAAGTGTGTCTAGAGGTCAACAAAGGTTGTCTCAGTTCATCAATCAGACAAAGTTTTGTTCGCCAGACATTTTCTCCACAGGAGAAATCACAAAAAATTGTTGCTGTTAAACAACTGATTACTCGTGACACACACAACGAGATTCGAGTTACTACTATCGCCAACTCTTAGCATCTTACAGGTATCGAAATAGCGGAAATAAAACAAAATGACAGATCATTCCATAGTGTTGAATGAAAGCAGCTGATGGACCTGTGTTTTGTTAAGTGCTTCTTTAACGAGGGCTTTCATACCCCCACCGGTTATAATTTAACTGTTCAATATCATTAAAGAAATAAAATATGAGAGCGGAATATAATAATAAAGAAAAAATAAAACAATTTTCACACGTCATAGACGAGCAGAGGAGTGGATATGTTCGGCTTGCAGATTATGTAAATAGTCCCCCTACATAAGTTCTGCAATGGTTTCACCTTCCACTTAAAATTAGGTCTCGTGTTTTTTAATCGCATTCCACTTAACTGCAAATTGAAATTTTAAACACAAAAAAGAAAACATCACTTAAAAATTACGCCACGACAACATTCAATATTTAGAGCAAGGTTTATTATAGTTCTATACTTCCTTGAAATATCAAATGTTGAGGCCATAAGGGATTTTATTGCAGTGTCAGCTAAGTAGCACTAATCCCATATATTAGCAGTGTATAAACACGTGACTAAGGTTAGAATATTAAAATGAGTGTGGAAAAAATGGCGCTTAACAACAACGAGGAATTGATAGAAAACTTCAGAACAAGACGAAAATATAAGAGGAAGAACTCTCTAGAACGAATGAGATATCAATTAAAGAAGAAATCGTCAAATGGGGCAAAAGTCTCACAGATCATAAGCAGCAAATAAATTAGCGGTGACACTGAGAGACAGAGAAAGACAAAGAGAGAGAGAGGCTTGAATAACAACAAAGAAACTAAAAAAAACTGTAGGTAACTTATCTTCGTATTTCTTGTGCTGTACGTCACGTCCTATGAGCCGTGATCCTCCCACAGCGTGATTAATGCACTTGCCCCATTTGACGGTTGTATAAAAACTCCTACAAAATTCTTCCTATCACATTTATGTTTTGAGGTTTTCTGCATTGTTATTATGCGCTGAGTTCCCTAGGCACTGTATGTACGAAGGACAAAATACTATAAACGGCATTTTCAAAGTTATTACTATCATTTACTACTTTAATATCTGAACTTAATTTAACACATCTTAAAATGATTAACTTTAAAGTTATACTTCTTAATTCACTCTCCACAGTGATATCCTGTTTCTTTAAAACTAATTTTAATATATAGGATTTGAGAAGATTTTATCAATTTTAATATATTCTCTCCACTTACGAAGTCTTCCAACTTGATCCTTCCCACCAGTCCTCGAGTAAAATTACGTATACATTTCTCATCTCTGCCATACACGTACATGCTACATGCCCCGCCTATCTCATCCTCGTTGAATCACACAAACCACAGGGAAGAGCAGTTTTTCCTCTTTAAATCCAAATACCTGCAGAAATTACCTAAATAATATCATGTAACGGGGCGATCCTCCGTTCATGGAGTCGTACTAATGTCCAACACGAAATGTGGTCCAATAGGATCCAGAGTCAAAACAGGGCAGGGAGCCAAGAATGTATCTCTCTCCTGTAGCCGGTAAATAATTCTCCATGAATTGTTTTTAACATATCAATGTTCGTCTTCAGGGTTGTGTAGCCACTTGGAGTTAAGGTAGATACCAGCGTTTCGGAGACTTAAACTGTCCCCATCATCAGGGCTGAAATACTTTTAATATGACTGAGTCCAGAAACAAACTGGAACACACTCAGACCCCTGCCATGTCATTGTCGCTTGCTTACACTGCACTAAGCGGGTTATCGCAGTGGTATTGCTTTTGACTTATAGCTATTGTGTTAGCAACTTTGAGGTAAGCAATCGCTGGACTGGGGTGTTTTTACGAGACAGTTTTTCTTCTGACAGGCTTATCCTCGATACGCTTTCGACTACGCCGTTCATGATCCCCACACTGGAGACAAGAAGAGTCAGTGGGAGTCACGTGATGGTGACGTAGTGAAAGGGTCCTACAGCCTGGTGGAGCCCGACGGAACTATCCGCACTGTGGACTACACCGCTGATGATCACAACGGGTTCAACGCTGTTGTCCACAGAGTCGGCCATGCAGTTCACCCCGTCGCGCCAGTGTACAGCGGTTATGGGGGGTATGGTTACGGTGGTTATGGTGACAAGGGTGGTTACGGCGACTACTATTAAATTCCAAAGCTAACTTGTGAATTTTTCAGATACGAGGAAATCAAAAAGATAATTTTTAGGATTTTCTGAAACTTTTGCTAGTAAATATTTGGTTAATGTCCGTGAAATTTGATACCGAACATCTGAATTCCTCTGTAACTGCCACAGATCGGTAATAACTGAGGACGAATGTAGAGAATGCAAAAAAATTGACATTTTAAATTTATTGCAAAGGTCGTGCGTTTTCTTGCCAATGCCCGAGAAAACTAAAAAGTAGGTCTCCAAAATGTTAATTGTTGTAACTCCTATAGGCATCCAACACGGTATGAAGCGCTTGTTGTAAGTCATGTCGGATTATGGTAATCACACTATTCTCAAAACAATTTTTGGCAATTTGACCGTTCTCTACAAATAGTTCTCAGTTCCTGTCTCTGTATCTCTCTTTATTCTTATGCTTTAAAAAGATTCAAATTTGTATTTAAATTAAATAAATAACGTAATTGATTCACTGTTACAATTTTTGTACACTGTCAATATGTACTATGTTGCTTTGTAAGTGTTAAAATACATTAGATGTTGTATGTGTTGCATCACGTTTATTTTCGTTTATGGACAAGTAAGCAATATTAAAATTGTTGGATATGTGAACAAGTGACAGATTCTTGTGGAGAAATTAATTTTCGCACGACTTACACAAAGTACGGGGAATTTCTTGGCTAGTTCTTCTCTATTCCATTTAGTTAATGAGAAGAATCTTATGAAAGTTCGTTTTGATAATTGAAAGTTCATTTAAGCGACTCAGGGCTCAGACAAATGGCGAATTCTGATGTTGGCAATGTTAGGCCTGGTTTCCCTACCAGAGATAACACAACACATAAGCTTTCCACAAACGGCTGTGAAACATTTTCCTTCAGACAACTTAGAACGAGACAGCCAGAAACGACAAACTGCAGTTATCCGCGTAAATCTTTCCAGTCGGTGAGACTCTTTTTATGTCAAGTCCGTGACGAATTACCTACAATAAAGAGATCTGTAAACATTAGTCTTAAATACGTCTTAGCCTTCTAAACGACCTTTTCCCGTACTTTTCCAACTATAGAATACAAAGAACTAGTAAACAAAGCTACAATCCAATAAGGACTTTTCTTGTAGTAAGTAGTAACAACTATTCAAATATAATTTTAATACATCCTAAAGTCTTAGAAAATAATTACATCAAATATCAAGACAATTATCTCGAGAACGCATTGTGTATTTGGTTCTACAAGACACTATACCAGGATATTTTATCCACACAACAAAATATTTTCAATAAACTTGTAATGGGACACACCTGCGTTGATGGGATGGACAAAACACGTAGCACGCATGGGAGAGGTAACAATGCATATAACTCTTCGGTCGGAAAACCTGAAGAAAAGTAGTTACTACTTGGAGATCGCTGCGTAACTTACAGATCAATGTTGAAATTACATTATAAAAATACAGTGTTCGGAGTCGAACTGGATTCATCTGGTTCAAAATATAGATCAGTGAATGTCTCTTTTGTAAATGGTAATGAAATTTTGGGGAAATTTATTTGACCACGAAGGCGACTATTAGCTACATGGATTCTTCTCCATAGACTTATTTGGACGTAGTCTAAAGAATGATTAATATTCTTTCGAATTAGTTATAAATGGCGCCCTTAGGTTTTTTAATAAACACAAAGTTCTTGTAACGACTTAAACAAGGTCAGAAAGTATTCCGTAATGGAATAAACAAAATATCTTAATGCGTTCTTTGCAACGCACATTTGATGGTATTACATCCTCCTTTTTCGATAGTTCCCACTTTGTCTACCAGTTCGCAGCACTTCATTGTCTTACTCACGATTTTCCTCATCCGTCATTTTGTTATCCTCAATTGTAGGTTATTCAAAACTACGATTTTTAGGTCGTGCACTATAGTACAACCTCCACATAAAATTTCATCAAAATCCGTCCAGTGCTTCTCGAGTTTAATTGGATGGGCGGATAGACACGACCAGCCCATAATGTGTTCTCGCTATGCACTTCGTGCAAATAACACATAAAACACATGGGGCATTTTATTGTTCTACTAGTAGTACAACAAACACAATTACTTCTTCTACTAAAAGTACACTACCGCTACTTCAAGTGATGCATCTGCGATATCTTGAAAGAACGTGTATATTTTTAAGTTACAGTTGCATATCATCATTAATTAATTATTGCTTATTCTTGGGTATCTCACAGTCATTCAGACAAGGAATTCGTCTCCTTTTATGTAACCCGAATGCCCATTACAGTGTTCGAAAGAGCGCTACCTGTCCTTAACCTGAGCCAGATGGAACCAATCCAGGACCTCCTATCCTATTCTAATACCATCAACGTAGGACTTCCAAATTCACTCTTTCACTGTTAATCTGTCTCATGCGTGCTGCATGCCCATACAACATTACCTTCACTGTCACAACAAAAGTGTTTCGGGTTTGAAGGTCCGAGGTACGGTCTTCTGTTATGGCCTCTGAAACTGGAGGTCGACTGTAGGATTTGCAACGAAGGAAAAGCCAGTCTCTTAGCCTACGTCTCTTACGTAGTTCTGTGAGTTGTAAAGTGTCTAGTCATCCTAACCTTGAGATGCTACGTTGATTTTATACTGTGGTAAGAAGTATTGATGCCTGTATTGCTTTGTAGAACAGACTGGTTGTATAGAAATTGGGTAATAATAAAATCAAGTTGCCGAAAAAAGGAATACGACTTGAACAGAATTAAATGTAAATTAATAAAACAGCGTAATATGTTCAATTTCTACAGCATTATAAATTCTTACCCAATAGACATTTGAGTTGAATGCAGGACAGATTCCCTTCCAGTTGTTGGCATTTGTGCCACTTACGTCATTTATACTTTTTATTCTGAGATATTTAAATTCGCTGATTTTAACCGACGATTAAAACTAAGACACACCTTGAATGCATACTGTTTAAATGGGTTCATTAAACTTCTGTATCTTGTTCTGAAAATCACGAAACATAACCTTGACAGAAAATTGTTGAAAGAAGTCAACTTTTGCCATGCTGTAATTTCAGAAGAATTAAAGACGGATGATGGCAGTTGTTTATATTGACAAAACAGAATCGATCATATTTGCGACTTCGATGATGAAGTCAACTCGAACACGTGTGAAGTTCCTTACAATCTAACTTGAGGACCGAAGACATTTCAATTACATTAATATTTTATCATATTCTGTGGCAATTTGTCACTTCTAGATAAAGTTATTTTTAAAGATATCAAAATGTGCCAATAGCTTTAAGAATAATGCCAGAAGGGCTTTCTTGGTCCTTCGGACAAACGATAAAATTATTATTGGCCCGAGGGAAACATACAATTTGGACCACCCTGGCGTAAAATATTGAACTTGGTTTGCAATATAAAGAATGAGGACTTGTAGGGGTAAGTAGTTTTTCCTCCTTGAGAAACTGGCGGTCGCTTTAAGTCTTGAATAAAGTTCACATCCTCATATTCTGCGTATTTAAAACCATCTTCATTATACTTAGGATATATTCGTAGTTCTTCTGTATTTCTATCAAAGATACTTGATTTTTCATTAAGTAGGCTTGTATCAACGACGAAATACATTTACCCATATTGAGATTCGTCAAACGTTGAGAAAGAATTTACAAAAAAATTAAAACAGTTCAAATTTAAAAAAAACCTCTTCAGTTTAACAACATTTCTTCAAGATTCAATGGTAGACAGAGGAGAAGATGCAAGACAATGGATGGACAAAGAAAAATGACGATTAGGAATAGGATTATCTCATATACGTTAATAAACTGATACGCACATATACAGTGCGTTCACTGATAAAGTTGAACGCAACTGTCATATCCCGACTTCCGACAAGAATTGCTATTACATAGGCAAGATTATTTTATTATTTTCATGGAGCGATACTTGAATCATATTGAGAAAACCTCGTAGCACTTGGCAGTGAGACAAGGAGTTCTAGCCGGGACCAGGGTAGTGTCAGTTGCGGTTAACTTTATCAGTGCACGCACTGCAAAATATTTTACTTTGTTACTTAGACTCTAATCTAAAATGTGTCATTTAAAATTTAAAAAAATATATAATTGTACCTGTTGTTTTGTGTGAAACTTTGGCTGTAGCGTTAAGGAAAGGACAAAGATTAAGCGTGTTTATGAACAGGGTGTTGAGGAGAATATTTGGATCTAAGGCAGAGAAAGTGACAGAGGCTGGAATATACATATCAGACAAAAGATTTGTAACTTTTATTCTTCCCTTAATATTATTAGGTTGACAAAAATGTATTATATGGTGGGAGTGGGCACGTGGAACTCAAACCTTTGATGAGGAATTTTAATCGGTTTTGTGAAAACGGTAATGAACCTTCAGGTTCCATGAGGGGAGGGAATTTCTTGACAGGCCGAGCGATTATTGGTTTTTCAAGAAGGATTCCGCTCCGCAGGGTTTCTTGATTCGTCAAAACACATTTTAAAATATTTCCGAAGGCAGAATTAAATTTAAACGCAATAGGTCACATGTTGTAAACGATTTGATTGATTATAAAAAAATCTTTGAGATGAAAACAACTTTCAAATCCACGTTACAGTACTCTTATTGTCACTGTAACACTTTTGTTTTTGTGGCATGGTAGCGAATTCATTATACAGGTTAACGTGACCTTCTAAAGACACCTAATTGAGCTTATCGCCCTAATTTTTTTTCGTGTAAACGATTAAGGACGACTATCGATTAATAACTGAAAACACTTGCAAATGTACGTAGACCGTTCCATTTAATTATCATATATGTTACACATTAACACTGTTCTTGTAGGATGTGGGACACTTTCCCCAATTTGTCATAAACACATGCACGTAATCAACACATAAAAACGTTTAAGATGGATGCTGTCAGAGATTGATTCGTAGACGGGACGCTGGTAGGGGAAAACATAATTAATGGGATAAAACTTTATCTCATTGCCAATTTATCCACCGTAAGTTCCACAGATTTCAAGGCAAGCCTACGATGTGGAACGTTGGCTTCTATCCACCTGCTAAGTCTAACTTTTTAAACAATGGGTCGCGGTCCATAACTGGGTCGCTGTACTGGTTTAGCTGGCGATTCTGTTCAAAAGCTGAAATTTCATACACAAGAGATTTTTAGCATGTGATGTAATGGATGGATGGCAGGTGGCTGCAACTGTACAAAGTACACGTTAACGTTGAGTGAGGCAGATTTCTTCAGCGATTGGGGCCGGCTGCAAGCAGAGAATAACCTAAGATACAGCCCTTCAATTATGTGACCACTATTTGAAAAATTATCAAAACTTGTGTAAAATTAAGATTCAGATTAACATATCTGTACTTTACAAATTTTGTGTTGTTATGATTTTTATGCTTTTGCAAAACCATTTTACATTGATAACTAGTGTTTGAATAAATTCAGAATGCCCCAAAAAGAAATATACACATTATAACACGGGATATTAATCTTGTTACCATCTCGGTGTGTTGTGGTTACGGGGTAATCTAAAGGTTTTCATTTTTAACTATATGCTAGATTCGCTACATCACTAAGTGCTAATACTGACGTAAATAACGGTTTTAATATGTTACGGGGTTAACAAAATATCTATAGTTCATTAAATGAATGTGTGCATAAAACGTTTTGGGCTACTCTGTATTTTAATTGGGTATTAATTATAGTGTTTACTTGATAATAATGTATGCTTATCTTAAATAAAATAAAATAAAAAGTGAAGAACCATTGTCCAAAGCACGCTACGTAAGAGCCCTAGATCATAATATTTATTCTTGCAATCTGTGTTCGTCAAGGTCACTTCAGTGCAAATCTGATGCTATTAAACTCAAGAGTTGCGTCAGCTCAATTCACCAATCACACACAAGTCTTTATCTTAAACATACAAAGGCTTGTGGGCTCCAAATCTACAGGGAGAATGAAAAGGGACAATATAGTCCTGTCGGAACACGCACTCCTTTTTCAT